GGTTAGGATTAGTGTAAGTATTGAGGACTGTCGAGTTCCACCTCGCATCAATGAACATTCAGAGGTCACATGTGAGAAGCCAAACCGAGTTACAATCAACACACGGAAATGTCGTCTCCAAAATTATTGTCAATATACAAGGTGTGTTTGTCTCCAACGGCTATGCCGCACACACACAACGGATCTCAACCAGATAGCGGCTATGGGTTCTCTCTTCTCTCGCCCTCTCTCTTAGTTTTGCTTCTCTCTTTGACTTCTCTCTCTCTCTCTCTCTCTCTCTCTCTCTCTCTCTCTCTCTCTCTCTCTCTCTCTCTCTCTCTCTCTCTCTCTCTCTCTCTCTCTCCCCTAGATCGTCACCCTGGATACACCCACTTCGGTAAGGTTACATCTTGGCGGCTATGGACGCTCTACTCCTATGCTACCCCTAACCTAGCTATGGAGTAACTCGCGGGCACTGTCTTCATCTTTAGGCGCACGGTGCCCAAGTTGCCCTAACGCACAAGCAGCAGCAGCGCTTCTGCATCTTGCAACTAAACAAGTGATGAGCAGCTGCAGTGTAGCAGCTAAATATAGGATTTGGCTGTGCTTGGTTTGGCCTGCTTCAGACCGTTACCGATCAGTCGTGGTCTGTGTAATGACCGCCAAAAACGCAGACTGAGAACACAGCTGATTTCTGGGATTTGCCGTTGGAATGAATGCCTTGCTAAGATTCCCGCATTCTGCTGTGGTTTCCAAGTCTGTGTGTGTGTGCTTGCCTGCTGGTTCGCATGCCTGTCTGAGTGCTTGTCGGCCGAGTGTGTGTGACCCGGGCCCTGCAGGGCTGGTACTTACCCGTGCCTGTGACTTCGAGGGTTGCACCGGGGAAAACACTCAAGTAGCGGGGGTAGGCCCACGACACTTAGAGCAGCGGGGAAAAACACTCAAGTAGCAAGTAGGCCGGTACCACTCAAGTAGTGGTAGGAGTGTCGGGTACTGGTGGCCGAGCATAAGAAGACAAAAAGTTGGCATTTTTTAGAGGCCCAGTAGCGGTAGGATAGAGGTAGGGCGGTACCAGTCCAAGTAGCCTGAGTCTAGGGCCTGTCCGGACGATAGCAGAGCCTGCAATGATGTTTCCCTCTGAAAGGGAGGAGGTACCGATTGCTGGGAGGCCGCTCGGCCTAGGAAGTCACCGTCCAAGAGGCCAGTAGGCCGCTATATCTTCCGGAGGAGCAAGTAGCTCCTCGTTTGCGATATGCAAGGATTGGCGACATGCTGCTGAGCCAAGCGCTGGACTTGTACAGAGCTGCTTGGAGGTGAAGGGCAGCTGGGCGCTCAGCCTGGCTATGGCGAGCAGCCCAGCCTAAGGAGGAGGAAGAAGGGGGCAAAGGAGGAGAGTGGTGAGGTACCTGGCTATGGTGGACACCATCTTCATCACCTTGTTGGGTGCTGCATCTGGAAGGCCCCAGTTGGGGTAGTGCCGCACCAAGGAAGCTTGAGGCAGAGTCAGGCATGGCGGCTTAGTCAGCAGCGGCATAGCTGCTTTGGGTTGTCCTTTGGACAGGAGGGCAGCGCCACAACTGCTTTGTGTTGTCCTTTGCACAGAGAGGGGCAGAGCCCTCAGTTGGCCGCCATAGCCTAGGCTTGTGAGAGGTGGAAGAAGGGGGGAAGCCATAGCTATGGTGGACCTGTTGCTGTTGTTGTTGTGTCAGCAGTAAGAGGGAACTTCGGACATTGATTCTGGTTCATACACTCATGGTTATTATTATTATTGGAAGAAGAATAAGATTGGCGAAGTGGAGGAGGAGGAAGGTGGAGAGAAGGGGGATTTGTCATTGGTCTTGCTGGTGTACATCTTCTTTTTCTTCTTCTTCTTTTTCTTCTTCTTCTTCTTCTTCTTCTTCTCTCTCTCTTCTTTTGTCTCTATCTCTTTGCAAGTGCTTTCATTTCTTTCGCAATTGGGTGGCATTGTCTTTCATTGTGAATTTGCACTTTGGGAATGACCAGGATCGTAACACCTGTCTGCTGCAAACATTTTATCGGTCCGGTAGCTTTCGGACTTTCCTGCGACATGCTGCAAAATTGGACTTGGGACTGGACTGGACTGGACTGGATGTTTTTGGACTTTTCTTGTTGGGTACCGGAGTACCTCACTTATCGACGTTTTTTTAGCCGAAGCAGAAACAACAGGTCTACTTAGCTGCTGCACCGGATTCAGAAGGCGCAGTCTATCTATGCACGGACGACTAATGTAACTACAACTTGATCCTACATCAGCCAAGGCACCTGATTTGCGGCTATTTACATCTCTCTCACTACGACCAATTGTCCCTTCCGGACCATCTGCCATTGCCACCCAAGAGCACATGAGATTTAGTGGCTTGTTTGGTTTCCCTATGGACAGTTTATCTTTTGATGGCCATACTCGCCACACTTCATACAAACTTCTCTTGTCCTCCCGCTCTTCCAAACGTAAACAACGCGTCCTTTTCCCACGGTTTCTTCGCCACTGGGTTGGGATCGACTCTTTGTTTGACCTTGTGATGATTACTACTGAGGCACTCATCCTTCCCTTACCCTTTATAACAGTAGTATCCATCCCTCCTGATATCCATCACATCACCACCATCTCTCTCTGTAGGCACTCTGCCCTCTACGCAAGGGAAAACCTCCTCCAAACCATCAGCTTAGATGTGGAGAAGGTGACCCTTCTTGTTTTGGACATCTAGCAGCTTTACTGTTCCCGGGCTAACTGCTCCCTTAAAAAAAACAAAAAAAAAGTTATTCGAACTAATCAAAAAGCAACTATAAAAGTCTAAAAGTACTAAATGAAAAGAGTGGCAAGTGGAAATTGACAATTTCCACAAACGAATATACAGTTGGCGGTATCCATCCCACCCCCATAACTGACAACTGCCACTGGCTGAACAGCGTGAGGTGATCTATAGACGGACCCACCCCCCCTGTGCACAGACAATCAGGTCGGGGGCTAACCCAATGAAGAATTATTTAACATTGCAGAAGGATGATGGAACCAAGAATGATTTAACGCCACAACAGGATGATGACTCAATAATCATTTAATGTTGCAGAAGGACAAGCCCACTCCAGAATTATTTAACCTCACAATAGGATGACATGGCCAACCCCAAGATGCCTCCTGAGCGCTGCTGACGCTCAGTTGTGATCTGCACATGCATTCATGTAATAATCCCACACCGTGTACTGTTCATTGTCTGGACCCTTCCAATACATTGCCGATCTCCTACCAGATGCAGAGGAACTGCATATATGCTCACGGAGTCTCTACTGGGCAGATGAGACACACAGCATGGGGAAGTCAATGCACTGCCGGTCCACGCCCTGCCTGTCGAAGAACGCTGGCACGCACGGTTAGGATGACAACGACCAGTGGTGCTGCTCTGATACCTAATTGCAATGAACCAGGCTGTGAGAACTCCAAACATTCGAGAGATGGTTAACGGAAGGCCCAAAATTCGGGGTTTTTCGCTGCATCACCTCGAGCAATGTCGTCAAAAATTTTGCGAACAAACAATGCAGGCTGATAATACAAACATCACAAAACCAAACAAGCGAAGGAAAAAAAAGCGAAGAAAAAAAAAAAAAAACTCCAAAGCATTATGAAGTAGTATGAAGTTACTATGAACCCTATTCGGAGTAGCTTTTGGACTTCACCATTTTTTCTCCGAATTCGGTGTTTTTGCATACTTTCTCGTACTGGTCCAAATACGTCGAAACTGAATACATACAGATAAAAGCACATACATATCACACAAAACAAAAACAAGAAAAAAAGCAAAAAATCAGGGAAATATAGCAGTATCGGTGAAAAATTTGCCGAAAATGACACCACCTATTAACAATTAGTGGAAATTCTGACCAACTCGAACTCGCGGCCTCCTACGATTCCTGGACTCCCACCCGACCAATGAATGGTTGAGTTGATCGAACCGGAAGCAGAGTAGACAAGGCTGATATCATGCCAAGGCAAGAACACACAGCACTGGAGACGCTTGATAATGATAGCGATCATGAGGTCAATCACTCAACACAACAACACAGTAGTAGTCCTCTAGTCAGGTCTGCATGCCATGCCTATGGTGTTTTCTAGTCCTCCCTATCTCGTACTTGCCGCTGAGCTCTCTCTCCCCCATGCCAATGATGGCTGAAGACTCTGATACGCTGGAGCTCTCCTGCTGACCACCATGTTAGCATCCACCAATCTCTGGCAGGCTTCCCCACCACCCAGGGACCTCCTCTAGGTCACACCTCCACTACTTGAATGCTCACTGCTCTTCTTCAAGCTATGGTGTCGGCTTCCTCTTCCAGCGCCACTGCTCATGCTGTCCAACATGCATGACCGCATAATGTCAGCGCTCCAGCCAGCGAGCTACGCGCCTGACTGATCCCCACATGCCCCGGCTTGTCTTTCGGTCAGCAAGGACCGCTTACCGACCTAGGCAGTTGGCTGTGTCGGACCCTAATATGACGATCCACCAGCCCAGCCTGCCTGTGTTTGCAGCTAGGGACCTCTCAGACTTGCTAGATGAGCTTCCTCCTACGATGGCGTCCTTGTATGTCTTAGGGGCACCCTCTTCCTGCGGAGGCGTTCCTGGGTGTACCTTAATTCAAGGGCCTACATCATCAGTCCACTCCAGAATATTCTATCTTGCCGTCTTCACCTGAATAGAACGCCCGGTGATTATAATTGCATCTGGGCTGGAAGTTGCTCCAAATCCAGCTATTTTGACGGGGCGTTCTATTCTGGTGAAGATGATAGTGTGAGTACGACCTTCACATTTGTTTATTGCACCTAATGCATGTATGAATACGAGTGCGGACCACGCATTTCGTGCTGTCACAATGTTTGTTTGGGTTTTGCGATCAGCTGTCCTTCAGATATAGCCCGTATGTATGATGGCAAGGCGGTAAAGTGGATAATGAAGTGCGCCTCTTCTTTTGTCGTTTTTATTTTTTCTTTGTCCCTGTTCACTTTTGCGTAGGTGAGGCTGGACGACATCCCGAAGCTTCTGGAAGAATACCGCCAACTTCTGAGAGAGCTGCATCAATCAGCAACTCCATCAACTGCCAGCTAATGCGAAACTTTGTGTGCAGAAAGGCACCGCATGTGCTGCGTTGTCACACCCCTTGTGGATACCAACCATGTGTGCATGTTTTTTTTACTGCCCCCCCCCCCCGCTCCTTTCTCTCCCCCCTCCTCTCTCCCCACTCAATAAGAGTTTTAGCAGTTCACGAGGAGGAGGTTCGGTTGCGGCCAATGCTCCTGCAGAATTTTTCTACCTTTTTCTGGGTTTTTAACTTCTTATATTCACATGTGTTTTCTCCTTCTTTTTGCTTCTTTTGTTAAACCACCTTACTTTGAGGTTTCTCTTTCCTGAGGCGTATTTGTGCTGCGGGCCCAAAAAGAGAAACCAGCATGACCCCTTTTTTTTTTTTTTTCGTTTTACGGCTGCGTGGGAACAAATTAGGTGGGAATGTACTGGGGGTTTAAGGCATCTGCGTCTTGATTCTGCTGTCAATACATTCACTTGGCGAGATGGCAATGCAAACGCCCTTTGATATACGGTGAAACAATGGAGAGCAGAATCATCGTCCCTTGCGTGGTCATCTGAGTTGTGCTCTTGGAATTATTGCGCCATGACACCCGCGAATGCAGACGATCGACAATTTGACACGTAGGCAAACGTCTGCATACGGTGCCAATGGACGGGTCTCCCGAGAGAATCCTGATATGAAATTGTTTAACCATCAGGTTACTTCTTCTTTTTTTTGGCTCTGTGTTTTTTTCTTTCGTTGATGACGAATTTGAGTGGCATTGCGGTGGCCACATAGTAGAAAAGGTGCTGAAACGAAGAAGAAGGCCGATTGGGTCTCTCTTGGATCCAGCTGTAAAGCTTCATGATGCGTAATCTCGTCGAAATCAAGAAGTGGCACGCAGCCAAGGGTGTTTGCAGGTACTAGTGGTCTAGGCCCTCCCAGCCTTGACATAGTCCTCATCCATTTTTTCAGCATGTGGTGAATCTACTGGTTCACTTCTCCTCTCCTCCCCCTTTCTTCGTTTTCGGGTCGAAGCCCTTAGCGAGTTTGAATTTTGAAACTCACAAGGTTGATTGGCACGTTCGTCGTAAATGTTCTGTATTTTCCGATCACCGGAAGGGGCGATCAATCCCTGTGCCTTGCTCTGTCACATGTGCAATGCATGAAACGGGCTCCTATTACTTTTTCGTTTCTTTTTTTTTCTTTTCTTTTTTTTTTCAGTCTGGGTCTCTGATATCGTGAGCGATTCTTTCTTACGGATAGGCCTTTTCAGTTTGGTCTGTGATATCGCGAGCGATTCTTTCTTCTTTTTCAGGTTGGGTCTCTGGTATCGTGAGCGATTCTTTGTTATGGATAGGCCTTTTCAGTTTGGGTCTCTGATATCGTGAGCGATTCTTTCTTACAGATAGGCTTTTATAGGTGCAGAAACGACATTGGATGACGAACGAGGATTGGGAAGGTATCGGAGTTATCTGCATGTGCTGGGTCTCTGATATCGCGAGTGTACCTGAATGAAGTTAAGGAGTGGGTTGTCGGCAAGTGTTGCATTAATCTCAAGTAGCCCCCGAGAGGGCTGGAGAAACAGACTATGAACAACTGAAGGGGTAAGTAGGTTAAGTTGTAGAGGATTTAATGGATGGATAGTAGCAGCGGCAAGGAGAAGAACGCCCGGAGGAAGAGCGGTGGGCTGTGCGGCCATCTCTTCTGGGTCAGCCTCACCGCTGCCTTGAGTTTGAACTTGAAAAGTCCCTACGTAGTTCGTTCTTGGACTGGTGACTATGCGTTGGAAGATGTAGGAAGCGAAAAAGGGACGGACAGACATTCTCCCGATTTCTCCCTCTAGAGAGAGAGAGAGAGAGCTTGTTGATTGTTCTAATAAAGGTTAGTATTGCAGGTGCATTCGATTCAATTGCTGCGTCATCCAGCATATTGCGGTGGCTGACACAAACGAGTGACATCAAAGGAAGGAGGCGAAGGAGAGCATCTCGAGACGCGTAAGTTGATTTCTATCTCCCATAGTTCTGTTCTTCAGACATTTTTTTATTAGTTTTACATCATATCTATGGTCACCGTGGGAACTAAACGTACAGTTAGTGATGGAGAAAGTGATAGAGGCCAAATCCTTAGGGCAGCTTGTGAAAGAAAGAATATAGTGATAGGAGGAAAGAATATTGTGATAGGAGGAAAGAATATTGTGATAGGAAGAAAGAATATAGTGATAGGTACGATTACGTAGTGTTGGGCAGATGGAAAACGAAGTTTGAACTTTGGATTTTTTATGGAGGGGTGGGATTTCAGAGCTAGAAAGCTTCTGGAAGTCTCAGGGTCTTTGTTCCTCTGGCATGCTGATGCAGGTGTCAGAGATGTTGCATGCTTGCTATACGTGAAATGATCTGGGCTACCCAGGTGCAACCGCGATTTACAGACGATGTGCTTGAAGAACGCACATGATGCCAATCCATTACTTGCGATGCATGGCTGTGGCGCACAGTGTGCATTTGGAGGGGTACAGCCTGTTCCTTTCCAGTTGGTGTGGTTGGTGGTTGGATAAAGAAAGGCAAGTTAGGAATCATTTTTCTGGCTGGGATGTCGAATTGCACTGGGAAGTTCAATACATTATCCCTGTTTTGGACCTAAGGCTACCAATGACTACTGGTAGTGCACGTCTTCACACATGCTGTCCTTGTGTGCGCAGTCATTTCTCTATGAAGTCACATACACCTTCAATGTCATATCCACATAGTCTCACAATGTGTGAAAGGACGGCGTAAGAGCCACAAGCAATGACACACACACACACACACACACACACACACACACACACACACACAGAAACAGAGAAGAGAGAGAGAGAGGTGATAATTTCTCGGATTCCTTCGTTAAGCGGCTCAATGCAGTGTGCTCCAGCTTCCCCTTGTAAAGGAACAGATAACTATCCCTTTGACATTGGTTTTCGTTTCTGTTCTTTTATATTCCATTTTTTCCCATGTGGCGAGGGTTATCCCTCGAGCACGACATCTATGGGTTTAATATCCTGCAGTGCAAAATGTGTCGCAGACACAGGTGAATGGCATGCATTGCCTATGGCATCATTTGCCCTCGAAAAATAGAATTGTTCACAACGGCTTCAGAGAAATACATAAAGAGTTTCAAAATGGTTGTGCTGTCGTTCTAATCTTTTAGAGCTCTCACAATGTCGACCCCCAAGGGGTTGGGGGGTTGACTTCGGAGTTTGAACTTTGAACTTTGAACTTTCAAGCTGTCAAGCTGTCAAGTGGTGTTGTGATGCACAATTTAATTGTTGAAGAAAGAGTTCTGTTTAAGATTTGGTGATATCTGAGGACTAGTATTCCTTGTCATTTGTTGTTTAGAAAGAAGTCAAAATCTCTGAGGATTAGTATTGCTTGTCATTGTCGTTTGGGGAAGAGGGAAATACGAAAAGACAGTGTTGCTTGTCATGCACAATTTAATTGTTGAAGAAAGAATTCTTCTTAAGATTTGACGACCTCTGAGGACTAGTATTGCTTGTCATTTGTCGTTTAGAAATATATATATATATATATATTTTTGACATTGGTGTGGTTATTGCCAGCATCATTATAAGCTCTTGGTCATCATGATCGTTTTTTTTCCCTTCTTTTTGTTTTCTCAAGCGCCTTCTATCCGTTTTTTTAATCTCCTTCTGCGATCGCCGTCGTTTTTTTAGAGTTGTAGTCGACAATCGTCTAGCTCTGTCTTTGCTTCAGCGTCGACAGATGAGTCCACAGTGTGCATTGCGCAGGCAGTGGATGAAATTTCACAGCATGAGGACGCACTCCCAGCACACAATGTCAGCACACTTTCTCTAGTCTTGAGCAAAGTTTTTAGGACAATCATACGTTAGCAATTATGCAGATGTTGATTTGGGGGCTGAGGTTTCAGAGCGCCTGTGGAAAAGCTCGTACCATTCTCTCTCAACATCTTTTTGGAGGCCGGAGTTTGTTGGGTTTACATAGCATATTTGCAGCCAACAAAAGCAGGACTTTTCCATGGCCCGGTGGTTGCGGGGTCTCTGATTGGTTCGAAATGCATCTGGAACTAACAAAATATACAATGATGATCAGGAATGGTTGCATCTCTCTCTCTCTCTCTCTCTCTCTCGCGCGCGCGCGCGCTCGAAAAGCAAGGTGAAGGTAGAGTTTGTGCTATGCCGAAATACATAGAGTGTGCACGTGCGCGCAACAAAAGTAGGTCGGAGGTAGAGTTGATGCCATACAGAAGTACCTAGAGTGCTACTGGTGTATACAGCGCAATAACAGACACAAGCAGGCTAGTGGTCAGTTAAACAGGGGATGGAGGGATGGACCTAACAAAAAAGAATGCAACCCCAGGTGAGAAGAGATCATGCAGTTTCCAAGCAAATGTGCTCGAGAAGGACACTCTACTTTTATATTTTTTCTAAAACTAAGCTAGATATGTCACTCAATTTCACCTTACACTACCTACCTACCGTTACTACTACTGGTACTACAGGGAACCCCGTAGCAGCCAGCCCAAGTTCACAATGCCTCAGGCGAGGGAACATGCAGGGGCTGCGCCTGACCTGCAGGTGAGCGATACCGGCCAGGGGATAGCCGGTAGCATCAGGGACCATGCCAAGGGACCAATCCTGGCGCATCCCCTCTGGTTCCCTCCCCTGCGAACATCAGCAGTCTCTGCTCGATGCCGAGCGGGGATCCAGTGGTCTGTCTCTAGGTGGCGGGCACCAAGCATGCCCAGGAGGGTACATGAGGCCAATGGGGGTTGAACCCAAGACCTCCTGAATGCCACTTGCGAGCCTTACCAACTGAGCCAGGCCACTGGATGAGAAGGACACTTTCATTTAATGACTGGTCTGATCTGCTCTGCTTCCATTGTAATTCTTTCAATTTCCTAGTCGTTCAATTCCCTAATTAACTAGGTAGTTTCACCTCTTATTTGTTCGCATGTTTTGAGGTCTCCTGCCAGGGACCGAACTGCACCCAAGGGTTCGACAGAATGACTTCACAGTCATCAAACGTGAGAGAGGGGTCAAAACTTCAATCTGATTCGCACAGGTTTTGTTTTGAAGTGCTATTTTTCAACAAGCATCTCACTAATATAGGGCTTAGTTACTCAACTTGTTCTTCTGGTTTTGACAAATGGCTTCCGGCCAGGGGTTCAAACTTTGACCTTCCACCTGACCTGATTTTTCAACAGACTTGTTGATTTGCCAGGGTTTCACAGTGGTAACCTGCAAAGCAACCATTTTCCCCAGCCTGGCTTTCAGGCAACCTCAGGAAGCGATGTGGACAAAGCCAAAGGCCTGACTTTACTGCATATACCCATATATGACGACACACTGGATTGCGTACTCGACTAGGTGTACTTTCAGGCAACATCAGGACGTGAAGTTTGCTGAGCCCATGCTGAAAACTGGCCATTTTTCAGGCAACCACTGTGAAACCCTGGCAAAACAATAAGCCCATGCAGATCGGATAAAGTTTTGACCCCTCTTGCATTTTATTTCTCTTTTTCTCCCCCCCTTAATTTGGACAGTTTCTCAATTTATGCGGGGCATCCTTGCGCAGGGGCCATGCTTCTCTTTTCTGTATTGGTCCAATTTGAATTGATGTCCTGAAGGACTCCCCTTTTGCTTTTGGTGAGGCTGGACATCACTTCGGCGAAACCGTAGTTGGGACGCTGGACCCGCTTTCCAGCAGGTGCTGCTCCCCACCAATAGACCGAGCACCCAGGTCTCTTGCTAGGAGGGGTGCTCTTATCACCTCTCCTAGCAATGACACGGGGGTAATTAAAAGAAGGGATGATTTGCAAAATACCCCCATAAGTTGAGATATATGCCAAAATACCCCTAAAAGGTATGGGTAGAGTGGAATACCCCTCTGACAAAAAAAATAGCTTGTGAAATGCCCCTAGCATCGGTTGGACCCCCATCTTTGCAATATATCCCTGCCGGGTACCGTCCAACTTTGCAAAATGCCCCAGTACTTGCCAATTTTTCCTAGGCGCTATTGCAAAAGGCCAAGGCCCAAATGGGGGGGAGGTCCAGATTGCAAAGTTGCACACCCGCCTGACAGGGGCACAACACGCCCCAAAAGGGCATTCCGCTCTACCCGCATCTTTCAGGGGCATTTTGGCATATATCTGAACTTATGGGGGTGTTTTTGCAATCATTGGTCCTCCCGGCCATCAGGATAGCTGAATGGGGTGTGCAAAGGGTGCAAAATTAGGGGGAACTGTCATTGGGAGGTGGGTCAGTCGAAGTGGATTGTGGGCATTTTAGGCGGACCTCTCCCCTTCGTTAAATCATGGGAGAGCAAGGGGCTGAGGCCCAGGTCTGCACACCATTTCATTCCGTCCCGCCTGTGGCAGTGAGGCCTACAGCTGCTAGTACCAACTTAGGCATTTCATGTTCAGAATAATTGACAAAAAATCCTTTTGTTTGATGAAAAAAAAAATCACGAACAGACATTGGGTGCTGATCTTTTTGTGATCGTATTTCGAATGCAACTCTTTCTCCCTGCTGTGAATGGTTGCCCAACTTGCCCCACACCATTTCGGTTTGGTGCGCCAGGCTGGGGAGAAAACGTACCTGCTCGGTAAAATAGTATTGGGAGCTTGACAGGCAGATGCATGAGGTCCATTTGTGCTTCGTGTGCAATGACTCGCTGATTTTGACTGCCGAGACTGACTGGAGTCTGTACAGTAACAGCGGTAGGGTAGATTCGTAATTTTATTTGGCTGAGGGCTAACCGAGAGACCTACCTGTACAGAAAATTTGTGAGGGACATATCTGCAAAGATGGGAAATATAGGCCCAGCACCAACCCGAATTTCCTACAGCTACCCCCATTGCGTACAGCAGACCTGGGCTACCCCTAGGACGGACAGGCCCGAAGGGGCCTATGCCGATAGATGGTCCTATAGCCTATAGCCGGGTAGGTAGAGGCCAAGAGGCCGAAACTGGAACGGTACCGGTCGGTCCAGTCAGTCACATCTAGGCCTAGGTTAGAATAGTTTAGAGCTATTAATAGTTTAGGGAAATCGATTCAGGAGTTTTTGGCTGTTCATTCTCGCGAAGCAGCGTTTGGAGAAGCCAAGCAAGTTAGCGGTGGTAATTGTCTAGAGGCGGCATCCTGAGACCCTTGCCGCGGACGGCAGCCACAGCCGTCCTTCAGAAGGTTGCCAAAGCTGGGGCATCGTCAACGCATCTACCCCTGAGGGTGTCTGTGCCTGGCAGGGCTATATCGAGGCTCTCCACTGAGTATTCGTCGGTGGCAGCAGCCATAGCTGCCTGTTTCTTCGTCAGAGTTGTTCACTGGCACTGAGAACTTCATCGGAGGATTTGTTCTTCATCTGGGTGGTTGGTGCTGGCCTCTGGGAGGTCATCTCGGTGTTGCGCTACTAAGTGGGTGTAGGGTAGAGAGTGGAGTGTGGGGTTCTGAAAGTGGCGAGACACTGAAACAAACTCTGTAACGATGTTTGGTTTTAATTGGCTCATCATCAGTGTGAATTCCAATTGTTATCCTCGCAGGTGTCTTCGTGTGATTGGTTGTTGGGAGTGTGTCAGAGAGTGAGAAACCCAGGGTGTCTTCTCCCCATCTGTGCATGGTTGAACTTTTGCTGTCTACTCTAGTCTATGTACAGTTTGGACTCTGTTTCCTCTCCCACTTCTCTTATGCATGTATGGGCGTGTATGAGACTGTCTGTGTGTGAGTGGCGGTAAAAATCGTCAGACAACCAAGTTCATAACAATTGGTATCAGAGCTGGTTTGAAATTGGAGCACTGAGGGTTGAGTGCAACTGAGGCATCTTCTTCATCTGGCGAGCTACTGGCGAGAAGCTTCATGGCGATTCATATTCTCCAGTACTGAGACAGCAAGGAAAAAGATTTCAAGCAGTGAATTCAAGAGTTCAATGGTTGTACTGAACAAGCGCACTGAACGAGTCAGGGTGCTTGCAAGGAAGTGGCGAGAACGGGGCTAATTCGCCATAGCCAATCCTGAGGGCAGTATTGCGAATTGCCTCAGAGTGGCGAATTGCCCCTGAGGACTTAAGAATCCTTTCGGCTTCATCCTTGAGCAGCGCCGACGAAGATTGATAGTCTGTGTCAATTGCAGGTGGAAATAACTCTATGTGGGCTATTTATAGCATCAGCGGCTGTGGGGTCTTGTGGCGAGA